TCGAACATTACTCGATGGTGTTTATTACTATGTTGTGTATTGGTTAGATAATACGTCGCATCGAACATTACTCGATGGTGTTTATTACTATGTTGTGTATTGGTTAGATAATACGTCGCATCGAACATTACTCGATGGTGTTTATTACTATGTTGTGTATTGGTTAGATAATACGTCGTATCGAACATTACTCGATGGTGTTTATTACCATGTTGTGTTTTGGTTAGATAATACGTCGTATCGAACACTACTCGATGGTGTTTATTACTGTAATAAACACCATCGAGTAATGTTCGATACGACGTATTATCTAACCAAAACACAACATAGTAATAAACACCATCGAGTAATGTTCGATACGACGTATTATCTTACCAAAACACAACATACTACTCGATGGTGTTTATTACTATGTTGTGTTTTGGTTAGATAATACGTCGTATCGAACATTACTCGATGGTGTTTATTACTATGTTGTGTTTTGGTTAGATAATACGTCGTATCGAACATTACTCGATGGTGTTTATAGTTTCAATAGTTTATAGTACATAGTTTCAATGTGAACATTTACTCCAAGCACACAAAAATTAGACAATGTTTGTAAACCACATCTATCTTAATGTAGATTAAACAAAAGTACTAGAAAAACCAAGTCGGAGAGTCTGACGTTCTGAATAAAAAAAAAGTATATTGATCTTGTCAAGTTGTAATTTTATTATTCTAGCTAAAATGACATAATATTTTGTTTTCAGAACCGAAAGAGAGAATGAACCTTATGCTGTGGAACTGTAAGTGAACTATATATAAGTTTGCGTAGGTTAAGGTATTCGTTCATGTTGTTGTTAGTAAAACTGAGAGATGTCGCTGTTACTGCACGTACTGTTAAAACACAAGAAAATAAAAGATGGAATATGTAGTTAAATTATTTTAAAAGCTTGTTTGTTTATATATGGCAAAGCTACTAAAGTTACCTGCCGCCATTCTTAATTTGACCTGCCGACCATAAGGAAGGCAAACTGTGGGCAACACCCACCGCCGACTCTTGGGTTACTCCTTAACCAACGAATAATGGGATTAATCGTCACATTATAATACCTCCCGCGGCTGAGAGGGCGAGCATGTTAAATGCTAGGTTTCTAACCTGCAACCCGTAAATTGCTATTTGAGAGTCCTGCAACTAGCATTTCTAGTGCTGTTATTATCATCATTAAGTCCATTTTAACCACTAGAGTGATGACATCACCCTACAACAGTTTCTCCCAACATTTTCAGATTTATATACTATTTGTAATTGGGTAAGATTTAATAGATTTAAGTTCTTTATTATTAAGTTTATAATTTGGAATGTTTTTTATCAGAATTGAAAACGTGTTTCTCCAGTACGTTTAAGTATGACCCAACTGCAAACAAATGAAAAATTGTGCTAACGTGACCCTTAATTTACTATTAATTTGTACTGCTTCAATTTTAATTATTAATTGAATATTAGAAGTAGCCCTAATTATACAACTCGTAACTAAAGTTTACTGGAGTTACATACTCTGACAGTACAGCAATTAGTTGCTGGTAAAAGATGTTTCAACACGTTCAACGTAACACTGGTACTTCCTGACCTGCATGGTTCTAGACCCGTGTCATGAATATTCATGCAAGTAACATTTTAAAACTTTTTGTGATATCATAGGTAAATGTACAATTCATTTGCTTTCTGAAAAACACGAGTCTTTTGAAACCATTAAGGACTGAATCTAGAAATGAAGTCATTTTTTGAAAGGAAAACAAATGTGAAACGAAACAAAATAGGTTTTCTAGATTAAACATTATGTACATAAAAAGATAAAATAAGTTACAATTTCGAAAAGAAAGGTTACTTTGAATAACAAAATACAGCTTAATCTACAAATACTAATTCAGACACATAATATGAATTTTCAGTAACATTTATTCATCATTTCTAAAAGTTGATATTATTTTGATGCTAATTATTCAACCAGCAATGAAACTTTCTCAAAATGTTAAATTTCTCTTTAAGAATTAATAACCTTCAATACATATAAATAAAATATAAAACGTATAAAATAACATACTAGATTAGCTATAATTTCTCTTGCCTTGTATCTTTTTAGAGTTGAAGACGAAAAAACTGGCAAAAAGTGGTTGTAAGTATTATCTCAGTGTCAAAACCTTTATTTTGTGCTTTCGTAAAAACTGACATACACATAAAATACGTTGTATAGTTAACTTAAAAATACAAGTACCATGTTAATATCTATCGAATTCAATCATATTTAGAAACTTTACATGTGGCGAAATATTCAAAGAAAGTAAATTCAAATGAGGAGCGAATGCCCATGTACAAATCCAGAACTTCTCTGATTTAAATGCACCGTTCACTTCTTGCAGCCAGTAAGAAGGTATTTACTTCTAATAAAGAGATAAAACCTGTATAAAACAGTAACTGAATGTTTTTTGAGTTAGCAATCCAATGAAATAGTTATACAATTAGTTAAATAAAACTGGAATAGTTCTAGTAAAATAACAGAAATTTAATTATTACCACTTACAGGTCACACTACGATTTGCAGATTAGAAGAAATAAGCTATACATTATATTATCCATAAGACCATTAAAAAAAATCTTGACTAGAGATTTTACTAATAGAAATCTTATGCATTTCATTTTCTATTAAACTTTCAACAAGATCATTATTAGAGATTTTAATACTTGAAATCTAATACATATAATTTTCCTTTAACCCATTCAACAAGTTCACGAGTAGAAATTTTATGACTAGAAATCTTACAAATATTCTTTTTCCTTTAAGCAATTCAACAAGACCATGACTAGCGATTTTATTACTTGAAATATTTTAATTTTCTTTTAAACCATTCTATAAGATCATGACTAGAGATTTTATTACTAGAAATCTAATGTATTTCATTTTTCTTTAACCCATTCAACAAGATCGTGATTAGAGATTTAAAATATTATGTATTTCATTCTCCTTTATACCATTTAACAAAACCATGACCAGATATTTTATTGCTTAAAATGCTATACATTTCATTCAACTTTTAGTATTCAACAAGATCATGATTATTGTATTCTCTTAAACCTTATAAATTTCAAACTTAGCAAATCCATAACTGAAGATTTTATTACTTGAAACTTTATATATTTCATTTTCCTTTAAACTATTGAAGAATGTCGGGATTAAAAATTTTATTTCTTGAAATCTTATCCATTTCGTTTTCCTTGAAGCTGCTCAATAAGACCATGACTAGACATTTTATTGCTTACAATGTTATCTTATACAATTCATTTTACCTTCAGCACTTCTAAAAGATCATGACTAAGTTTTATATTACTTGAAATCTTATACATTTAATTTTCCTTTAAACAGTATAAAATATATAATTAAGCAGTATAACAGGATTGTGACTAGAGATTTTATTTCTTCAACTTCTATGCATTCCATTTTCCTTTGAACCAGAACTTTACCATAACTGGAGATCTTACTATTTGAAATCTTGCGCATTTCATTTTATTTTAAACCATTCAAATAGATTGTGACATGAAGTTTTATTAGTTTTAATGATATACATTTCACTTTATTTTAAACCATTCAAATAGATTGTGACATGAAGTTTTATTAGTTTTAATGATATGCATTTCACTTTCTTTTAAACCATTTATCAAAATAATCACTAGTGATATTGTTACTTGAAATTATGTATTTCATTTATTTACCTTTAAACAATTCAACAAGATCATGACTGGAGATTTTATTACTTGAAATCTTATACATTTCATATTACTTGAAGCCTTTCAACAAGGTCATTACTACAAATTTTATTAATTAAAAAATATATTTCTAAATAAGTATAAAATCATTCAAGAAGTTCATGACTAGAGATTTTATTATTTGAAACCATATAGATTTCATTTTCCTCTAAACCCTTCCACAAGATCGGGATTAGTGATTTCATTACCATAGAGTTATACTTTTAATTACTCATATAACCATTTAACAAAATCATGTCTAAATATTTTATTGCTTAAAACCATTTTAATTTTTTAGACTATTGAACTAGATCTTGACTAGATACCTCATTGTTTGAAAACTTGTACATTTCATTTTTTTTTAAATCATTAAAAGATACCATGACTCTACATTTTACAATTGGAATTATTGTGTATTATATTTTATTCCAGACTCATTCAATAAAATGATTAGAAATTTTATTATTTAAAACTTGTATATTTAATTAACCATATAACTATTCAACAAGATCATGACTAGCGAGAATTTTGTACTTGAATTCTTATACATATAATTATCCTTAAAACCATTCAACAAGATCGTTACAACATTATTTTATTACTTAAAGCACGTACATTTAATTATCTATAAAGTTCAATAAATTCATGAATAGAAATTTTAATATTTGGAAACTTATGCATTTCCTTTTTTAACCATTCAACGAGATCATGAATAGAGATTATATTACTTGAAAATTTTACTTTTAATTAGTTATATTATGAACCACTACAGTGATTCATAATAGGGAACGCCCATTTGTTCTTCTTTATTATTATTGTTCCACCAGTCTACAGCAAAAAAGGGGCGCGAGTATTACAATCAAACCTAGACAATATTACTAAAGATCATTGCGTAGGGTAGTTTTAGGTTATTTCCGTACTTTTCATCAGCTAAAAAAATCACAAATCTAGTGTAAATGACGTTATCATTATCCCTTGAAGTTAATTTTCTTACAGATGGTGTTCCTTTTAGAAGCTATGTACGAGGTGAAGAAGTGAAAATAAAATTTAAATAAACCAATACACATAAGATTAAATTTTACACATTCATAGAATAATTGCCTTAACAGACAGGAAGGGTTATTTAAGCGATGTTTTAAACGTATACGTTTTATTTCAAGATGCTGAATTTCTACTGGTAAAATTTTATATGTGCTTAGTGGTGGTTGTGTTTTAGTATAGGCATATATATATATATATATATATATATATGCCCTATTGCTATGTCATTATATATATATATATAGTAT